TCCTCCTCCTCTTTTTTTCTTGTGCTGGGGATCCAACTCAGGATCTTGGCTTGCCAGCCAGGTGTTTCAGCTGCTGAGCCATCTCTCTGGCTAAATAATGTTTCTTCTATGTTTGAGCAAACAGTTTCTTGAATCATTTTAATACTCAATGTAATATGGTAATGAAAAACAGATACATTAAAAGACAACATAGTCATTGGGCACATACATGTTAATAGGTAATGCTTAAACATATAATTTTCCAAATTCAAAGTCACTTTCTGAGCTAAAGAAGTAGACAGTCAAAAATAAAAGTCCTTGAAACTACCTGTGGGGAGTGCTGACCATGACCTCTTATTTACTCCTGCACGTTCCCCGGGTTTCCGCATTTCTTGGATGCCCTTGCTGTGCTCTGAAGCAGTTAAGAATGTGGACTCAGAAGTCCTCCCCTGTCCTTTGTCTGTTCCTGGTCAGCAGGACAGGCTGGCCCTTGCTGTCTCACCTCAGCTACTGAGCAAGTACATGCGTGTGGCTGCCCTCGCCTGTCATTCCTGCTGGCTTCTGGATCTACGGAGTGTCAGCAGCATCACCCTCGCTCTTCTGCACTCTAGTGTGTGGGGCAAGCCAAGCGGGGAGACAGCTCGTGGCAGCCCAAGAAGAAAACAGCCACAGAAGAAGAGATGTAGTCTGCCCATTAATGAAAGCTAGAAGCACTCAGGTAGTGTGACAGGGACATGTGCATATTTGCAATCCAAGATAATTCTTGCCTTGAAAATATACTAGCAGTGCAAGCTGCTTCTTCTGCTACAACATTTATCACTTTAGAAAAGCAATCACAAATTTGATCTGCGCCTGTCAGTGACTGGCTGCATCTTTTTTCCAGTGGAAGGACCTGTTGAAGGTTATAAGAATTAACATGAAATGCTGTTTCTTAATTAAAGTAAGTTCAACTCCAATAAAATTCTACAGATGATCTGATTTATTTTGAAGAAATTTGGTCTCATAGTTTCCAAATACTTGATCACCTTTTACAATTGCATTTTTAAAGTGATCTCACTTGCCCAGTGTTCTCGCCGTGGCAAAGTCTGATAGCCACCTATTCAGTATTCCCTCTTTTCAATAAAAGATTCTGATCGAGCTTCCTGTGTGCAGATGCTAGACTCCAGGGCATAGCCCCGAGTGGTCAGCAGCTGCTCAGCCCAGCTCCTCAGTTTCCTGGTTGCCCAGGCAGCTTCTGGAAGCCGCTGAGAGATCTCACAGCAGGCAGCTGAGCACGATGCCTGAGACGCAGCAGCCATGTTCTGACCAGGATGTGCCAAGCACAGGGAAACAGCCAACAGCTCAATGGTTCTAGAGCAGCCTGGGTCCCTGGTGGCTATACTGAGCTGCTGAAAGTGACACGGGTGACCACATAAGTTAGGATTTCTTATTATATGAGAAGACATTTATTTTAGAAAACCCACAATTATTTCAAAGCTAATATTTTTGAGAAACTACATGGGATCCTAATCAATATATATGCACATATTTGCATAAATCTTGTGCATGTTATAAATGTTCTATATTCATTCTTATTTTTTTAATCTTTTTTGTATTTTAGGAATGGGTCTACAGGGTGTTCAGGGTCTCACTACTAGATCGGACTCATAGTGATCCTCCTGTTTACAGCCTCCCAAGAGCTGGGATTACAGGCACTTGCCACCGTACCCAGTCTCAATTTCTGTCTCAGTGTGCCCCAGGGGCAGGGCCAGCATGGCAGGCCCCGGGATTGAACCCCCGGCTCCTGCACCTGCTTATAGGTGCTTTAATCTGCGGAGCTATTTGGCTGACCCTTCTATATTCATTCTTACATGAACATATATATGTACACACACATAGAAAGGTACATTTATCCTTGATTCGAGGTTTCAATGGGAGGAAATTACTTCAAAAGTGCAATAGACATCAGCCAACGGCTGAGGCAAAATAGTGCCTGGCTCTCCTGATCATCTCATTCGCAGCTTTTAAGGCAGCATTGTGAAGAAAGCTAGAAATTAAAGAATTACCCATCATGTTAAGCAAGTGTTAGTTATTTTTAAACAGCTTCCTGTCTTACTTGTCATAGGTACAATTTTGGGTTTCATTGTTAGTGTTCACAGAGTTTCAGCGTATCACTGGTCAGTGATTCCTGGATTTGGTGGCCTAGAAGGATGTGTTAACCAGCCATCCTGCCACGCACGGCACTAGCACCTCACTGATTTCACTGCTTGCTATGTTACTACATCAAACTACGGACTGGAAATTATTATTTCTTCAAAAAGTTCAGTGGTCCTCATCATTGTCCCTCAGTAATATGGAATTGTTTCACTTAACTATATGAGAAAGCTTTGTTTTATTAAAAATACAACTATAGATGAAAATGTTAATTACCTGGTTAAATCACATTGTCAGGGAAGAATAGAGAGGGGAAAGATCTGAAGTCTACAATTTTGCTTCCAAATATTTAAAGACCAATCTTCCTAGCCTAAAGTGGTGGAGTCCTTCATCAACATGACTTCAATAAAGCTTTTGAACTTGGCATCAAACTAACTTAGAAGCCCTCAGGAGAGACCTTTGTTTAAATTCTTCATGTTGTAAATGAAGAGAGCAAAGCTCAACCAGCACCAAGTTTGCAGCAGCTTGGGTGGGCGGAAAGAACCACCTGGAAAAAATAGCCAGGGCAAGCTGGGGAGAAGGCTGAAGCCTGACACCACCATGTGTACCACAGGTTCCCCATAGTTCCTAGGACTGTCTGCATAGAACCTGAGAGCTTTGTTGCAATGTTTAAATTAAAGAAGGAAGTAAAGAGATGCGGCTCGGATCAGATGCACAGAATTGCCCTGATGCATTTCTTAAAACGGTGTGTTCTTGGTCAGGGAGGTGGCTCAGCAGCATAAGCACTTGCCTGGCAAGTGCAAGGTCCTGAACAAACAAACAAACAATGTGTTCTTCTCAGTCTTGCAGCTAAAACCATATACTTCTTTTTTAAAAATTTTCCTTATTTGTTTATTTATTTATGTGTGTGTGTGGCCAGCTCAGCCCACCAGGGGGCGGGGCTGGCTGGCATGTGGTGCTGGGGGATTGAACAGCGGTCCCTGTGTTTTGCTTAGCTTGTTCTAAGTAGGTGCTTCAGACCACTGAGCCATCTCACCAGCCCCCAAAACCATATACTTCTTAAATCTAAAAGCAAAGCACCAGTGTTTATGTTTG